TGTATCAGTTTATTTACAATTTATTTCAACTACAGCCTGACGTTTCGGATGCTATTTACGCTACGTAGTTAATATTTGGCGAAATTACCTGAGTCCTTACTCGTGCAAAATAGAGATAATACTGAAACCCAATTAAAAAAAGCAAGAACCACGATATTTTTTTTTTGCAATTCCGTTTGATGTCAAAGCTAGTTAAAAATATAACACGATATAATTACGCGTAGGTAGTGTCGCAAAAGGCGCGAATCACGTTAATTGCTAAGGACGCGCCGTATTAAGAGACAAGAATGTGTTTTTTTTTTCTATTTGAAAATAGTTTTTTCCCATGTACACTCAGTCTTATATAGGTTGATAAGTTTAACAATTGTTAATTGGGGTAAAGTAAACGAAATAAAACAATTACAATGGGTGTAAAGTAATTCTGTATGACAGAAAGATTCCTCTTTAAGCGATCTAAAAAATGATTAACTTGCAAGAAAGTCGAGACGCGGACGATGCGGAAGCAATCACAGCTAATATGTTATTGGTATATAGCAAATTTCACTTTAAAAATTAGTTACTTAATAGGGTCGAACTGTCAAATGTACCATCCTATATTAGACAGGGTATATTATATACTAAATGCACACCTGCTAAAACTAGTCATGAGCATAGCCAATGGGCCGTGAATATCGATTGAACTCGCCCTATCACTGCGTTACCCTGGCATAGATACAGCTCGTATACGGATATTGCATTACCGCAATACCACACTTTGCCATGTGCGAGCTTCATTTTAATAGCAACGACCACAGCTTAGGTAATGACAGATGTAAATTGGCGGGAAATTAACTGTCAAATTCTTTTTTTTTAATATTAAATATATTTAGCGTAATAGTGTGCCAGTGTTGACTTTTGTGTCTTAAATATTGTCTGTACTTCACGTGAGTAGTGCAAATTTAAAGAAAACACTTGTAAACCTATGGTATTTCAGTATAGGTCGGCCTGAAGGTATCAAATAACTGAGAATCTAAACTAAAAACACAAGATCACAAAAACTGGCATACCGCGAAAATAGAGGACAGTTCGAAAAGGACTCAGCTAGTTTCTCCTAATACCAGATACGAGGACACAGATGACGTTAGCGTAGCAGACTTTGACATTAGGGACACCCTTCACCTTCAGTCACCCCTTGACCACGGCTGCTGCAAAGCTTCGTAGTTAACTAATATATTTCACGCTTTTTACCATTAAAATTGTTTTATTTACATTTTAGTGATTTCTTTAAATTCGAGCCCTACATAAGTAGATTTTTAAATATCCTGGGTCTTAAGTGGTTACTTTATGACTATTAATTAAAATTAATGTAACATCTATCGAGGTTATCTGTGCAACTGACTGGCTTCCCTTTGTCTCCAAATGGAACAATAGGATTTAGATTATAGAAGCTCAAGAGGTATACATCTATACCTCGTCAATTACACGAGATTAGAGTCCACCCTTTGACGGTTGAGAGGGAAATTGAGTTGGTCTGAGCGTGAATATTTGGCGAGGGCAGTTATTACACGTTGCCCGGCTATGTACACTTTCAAAGTAAGCTTAATTGCGAATGTTTTGAAAAACATTTCAATGCTTATTTCCTTGCCTGAGAAAAAACTAAAGTTCACCACGTCCAATACTACGCATTCAATATCTTCAAATTTTTAATTAAATTTTCATTCAAATTAAGAGTTACAAAACGCACAATGTCCAAATCGTAAATTTTGTGTTTATTTCATAATACCGATGCGTTTTAAATGGTCGTAAACAAAGTTTGTCAAAGAGATGTTCATAGTAATCGATAGTTGCTACTATACATATTTTATTGTATTGCAAAATCCTTTGTTTTTATAAATAACAATGACCACTGCTCGTGAAGTGAATAATATACGAATGTCTCTTATATTTTATATGATAATTCGTCGTTCACTTATTCAATATAATTAATCAATATAATTTTTAATTTTACTTTCAACATAAAACAATTCTTAGTGTCATCGCAAAGTAAGAGAGCATATTTCTTTAGTTCATTTTTAAGTGGTTTAAAATGCGAAATCTATTAGTTAACTTATTTTAACGATTATTTATTTTATTTATCCTGCTGCAGCAAAGAATCCGCAGCATCATCTACGTTACAAGTAAAAAAATGTTTCGTTTAGACATAGCGTACTGTTTGGTAAATAAATTAAACTATCGACAACAGTCCCCTCACTGGTTAGTGTTGCGTCATGGCAAAATATCTTATCCGTACAGCATCCGTGCGCCCACACGATGCCTCGAAATACAAATGCCTGCCAAGCCCTTTGCTTATTTTTTTAGTATTGTCTTCAATGTGTTGCGTTTTCAATTTAAAATAATAATCGATGTTTTGACACTCTGAAATAATCGCCCTATTAAAACCTTTAATACAGCGGTTTTTCAAGGCAATAGTGATGTACCAACAACGATATATATACATTTTACGTGAAATTGCTTTTAATACAAGTGGTTTCGAAATCACTTAAACAGAAATAAAGCCTTTTCGGAAAAGTTTGGGTTTCCTTTATATATTTTTAACTAGATGTCTTTACACTTATATCTCGATGAGCAGACATTGTACGCCATATCTCCTGCATTAATTTGTAATGATTCAAATAAATTTTTATGTATACAATTTAATTATTATTGGCAGACGGTAATAATACGCCGCTACGAAAACGCTACGGTCGTGGCGCGTCGCTTTATAATTACGATTGTGCAGTGTAATGCAATTTCCAGTTGTGAAATATGTCTGTACGTAACCGAATAAGAGTTTGTTTTAACCTTATTGTTGTATTAAAATGCAAGAATTAGTATTCACAAGACGATTAAGAAAAAAATTACTGAATGTATCGGATACATTCTATCAGTTTTGAATCAGTAAAACAAACAGTAACAACACTGACCAAGAAGGTTGAAGAGTAATATATAAGTTAACTTACTTTAATTTATTAAAACTACGATTCGACGTTTCGGTTGCGTTGCATCTGCCCATCCCGTTGCAGCCATTACTGTGGTGACGGGGAGACTAAATATATTTTATAAAGTAAAGTTTTCGTCATATCATTGACATTCGGGCTGTTCGCCGAGAAACGTCGAGAACCTCTTCTCGCTCACATCAATGATGTGCTGAACGATGGCCGCGAAAGCCTTACACAATTTATCAAAGGTTAGTGTATTAAACAGTTTTTAACGGTTTGATTTAAATGTGTACTACTCTAGTGCAGTTTTAATTTAAGGAAAGAGTTATTATCGCTGTATAGCAATTATTGTAATTACCCAACTGTCAGCAATACGTACTGTGGCGCAGAGCTCTAAGCGACATTTAACGAGTACACTTTATGATAATGGATCCTGCGATTGGCCATCACGATTGCTGTTTGAGAGACATGCCAGCGCCATTTTACTATCAGCGTATTTGCACGCGGTTCATATAAGGTTCACTATTTAAATGCGCACATTAAATACGCCGTGGTTTATACGGTTTTAACCGATTTAATTAAAGTTCTCAATTCGATCGTATGTATGCTTTTTTATGTTTGTTCGCGCATTACTTTGTAATTTGAAAAAAGAAAATATCTATCTATATACTGTTATTTTTTACTTAGCATTGACATATTACTTTGTGCGAAGTATATCTTTTTGCGTTTCAGTTTGTTTTAATAATGATTTTATATGGTAAGAATACCATTTGCTAGAACTGAAGAAGACTATGCCACAAATATTTAAACGTGATTTACTCAAATTTACCTAAACCGTAGACCGTAAGATAACCAATACTTGAACTAATTTTTATAAGTCAGACAGTTATAGCCTAAGAGATGAAATGACAATTAATAACAAAAATGTATATTCAAACAATTTATTGCTCAAGGTACAAGAAACGTTAATATTCTAGTTGTATGTATTCCATATTATAAACAATATATAAAGCAAACTTTTTTAAGCTTAAAAAAAAATATGCAAATAAAAAAAGTAAAAAAATACACGCAAAAAAATAGGAATAAGTACTTATAAATATTTTACCTAGCATAAGGAAGGTATTATATTAAGTCTACGTTCCTGACCCGTTTTCTTTTGGCAGGAACCATATATGCATGTTCGCTATTATAATTTTAAACCATTTCAATGAAATCGCTGCGGGGTGGCTTAAGCCTTTAAGCTTTACTGGGTAAACGAAAATTTCTATGACAGAAGTACATTATCACACGCCCTGAGCGACATTTAACGACGCGCTCATGATAATAGGCTATTGCGAGAGCTCCTCACGATTGCTCGAGATGTGGTAATTTAAGGGATGCGTCTATACAATTTGTGGTAATGTTAACTTGCAAGGCAGTGCTTTTTATGGACTTAGGAGGACAAACTAGCATTGGGCTTGATGGTGGTTGGTTCTGGTCTATATCAGTTTATAATGTATCGAATTAAGATGCGCTATCGACCACTTTTGGCATGAGATTTTATTTTAGCTATTGAAATTTCTTTCATATCGCGTTTTAAACCTCAAAAAAGTTGTTTATTTCGATGTGTATCACTCGCGTAAACAGACATGATATTTAAAAATGTGGTGAGTAATTCTGCTATAACATCGATATTCCAACCACGGTAACTATCAAATGGTCGATGTCACAATTTTAACGCGTTTATAACGAAGGGTTGAAGCATATTTCACTGGTTTCTTGTTGCTCGTCGTAAAATATAAATACTCTAACACGTAACCAAATTTTTCATAACTGTTTATTTCTTTTTGATCACAAGCTGTTTTGTGTAAACTAGTATACTCGCGTACCAATCCACTACTGGGCGCAGCAAATTAATCCAGTTTCAAAATTAAACGACACTTATATTTGTTCGATTTCGTTGCGACTGCGTAATGTAACACTTACTTAAATTATATATTTGATATTCGACAAACACTACATATTGCCATGTGCAACAATGAAGTTCAATAAGGTCGTTGCCCTCTACCCGGGGCTGCCAAATACAAATTCATAGCGCAGTACAACAGATGTTAACAATACTGTTAGTTTTTTAATAAAATCGGCTTCTCTTGGCGCCTGGCCAGCCTTATAATTGATCTGCTTACGATTATAGTCTAGGATACTGTGAATGCACCTAGCTACAAAAAAAATTCTTAATGAATATCACTCCAACCAGACACTATACTTATATAGAAACAAAAGTTTGTTAGAAAGGTTAGTGTTTATAACAAATGTTCTTGATTTATAAATAGTTCTCCTAACAAACAATTTTAATCACATGACAGATTATAACGGAAATTATTTATAATTCCAATGCAGCCTTTAAGTACATTATTTTCGTTTCATCAAAAGATGTATAGTCAGACAAAAAATATCGTATAAGGAAACTGACTGATTTGAATTACTAATTGAAAATAAGTATATAAATACAAAGCTTTTTTTATTTATGCGATAAATAACAGAAACACCTAGCTCTTACACTATATAGTTCGGAAACTAATTGCTACGATCAAAGACTCTTTCCGTATACAGAAACGGTTCAATAGAACAATAAAAAATAGAAAATACTGACCTTTTAAACGGTAGTACAATGCACCTTAAAAAAGGTTATATTTTAGCTTCATGTGTCATTTGTGTGAGACGAAAAGTTGTTTCTATATTGCTCCATAGATATCAATTTAAAATTTTTACTTTATAATTGAAGCTTAAGAAAAACAAAATGTAATATTTAATTTTAGGCACACAAAATGTGCGATCTTAACACGTGTCAATAAAATTAACCAGTCAAACTGCACTTTGCCTAATAAATTATTGTAGAGTATACATAATGTTTGATTATGCTATAGGTACATAACCTAATATGAGGCCGCCAGAGGCAAAGTAACCTAACTGCAATTTTATGATTTGAGTTATTTAGATTTGTTAAAAATGCTAACCTATAAAAGCAGTGACAGAAAATTGTTAACATAATGTTTACACAAATAATAAGACAAATTCACTCTAACTTAAAAATAACTTTATTTAAATCCGTTGCATAGTTTTGAAGATTTAAGCGTACATAGGGACAGAAGAAGCGACTTTGTTTTATACTAGTAGTGATGTAGTGACCAGTACCTATTGTTAGTCACAGATATAACACTAAATTGAAACATCAAAGTTCAAACACCCCATTGTTATGATATTTAATAATCTGTAGCACGCGCAAAAAATACTCATAAAAACGTTATAAAAAAAAAAAAAAGAAAAGCGCACGCAAAGATTCTAATTATAAAATTTTTTTTTTTTTTTTTTTTTTTTTTTTTTTTTTGAATTGATTATTACGTATTGTGTTCCTAAGGAGCCACGAATACTAACCGGGCGTTTTGGGCGAGCGCGAGAGCGCTCGCCGTGTTTGCGGCTAGACCAAGGGTGCCCCGAGGGGGGCAACGGCCTCGGCTTGGACCGCCGCAATGCGGGTGGGAGCTTGAGGAGCTGGACGGAAGCTCACCCGGGTGAGCGGTACGCGTAGCGAATGACCTCGCCTACGCCGGCGTAGGCGGTTTTGCGGGCGATCGGCACCGGTGTTAGCCGATCGCATAGCGGTAAGTACGTCGACGGCTTTCGTTAAATTGTCGTCGGAATCGGTAAGGACGTTACGCGGCCTTCTCCAGCGTGTATTGATGGGAACGGTGTAGTTGGCGGCCCGGGCCACCAGTGGGTTCGGATGCGTCGCGGCTTTTTTGAAGAAACGCTCGGACGTTTCCTTGAAGTACCGACTGAGGGTCGGTAATTCGAGATCGGCGTGGAGATCTGCATTCCGCACGCACCAGATGGCTCCAGTGGCGGTTCGAGTGAACCGATTCTGAAGCACCTGGAGCCTGTGGAGTGTGCTAGGGGCGGCGTGGGCGAACGCGACGCTGGAGTAGGTGAGAATCGGACGAATACAAGTTTTGTACAGCGTAACTTTGTGTCTGAGGGACAACTTGCTACGCGCGCAAATTAGGGGATATAGCCTGCTCATGACGTAGCAGGCTTTACGACGGACTCGATTGACATGTTCGCGGAAGGTTAACTGTTTGTCAAGCGTGACGCCTAAATATTTGGTCGATTTTTGCCACGGAATGTCTTCGCCGTAAAGCTTGACATTGGCGGGGCGTCTACACGGTTTAGTACGTGTACTGAGGGGCCTACGAGTAAAGTAGATTGCCGCACTCTTATCGGGGTTAACCTCGACTCTCCATTTCCGGAACCATGCGCCTAGGGCGTCGGTCGCGGTCTGGAGAGTGGAGACGATCCGCTGCGTTTTGCAGTCGGTGGTGTAAACGGCCGTATCATCGGCGAAAAGCGCAAGATGGGCTTTGGCGGTTTTGGGGATGTCGCTAGTAAAGAGCGAGAATAGAATTGGCGAGAGAACCGATCCTTGCGGAAGGCCTGAGCGAAGGGATTTCGGAGTGGAGAGGGCGCCCTCTACCCGGAAGCGGAAGGAGCGATTCGACAAGAATGAGTGGATAATTCGCACCATTCTGTCGGGCACACCGATCTGGTATAGCTTGTATAACAGACCGTTATGCCAGACTTTGTCGAACGCCTTCGCTACATCGAAAAAGAGCGCTCCTGTCGCGAGACCGCGAGTCGTACGGCCGAAGCCGTGAAGGATGTGCTCCGTGAGGCGGTGCACTTGATGGGTACATGAGTGGGCATGGCGGAAGCCGAACTGTTCGTCCGGAAGAAGGGCCTGGGAGTTTGAAATGTCCCGCAGGCGTGCGTTGAGAAGTCGCTCGTATATTTTAGCGAGCGAGTTGAGAAGACTAATAGGTCGGTAACTACTAGGGAGATTGCGGGGTTTACCCGGCTTGTGAATTCCTATAACTACAGCCTCTTTCCACTGATCCGGGAAGACGCAGTTAGACATAAGACAGTTGAAAATCGCCACCAGAAGGGCAATAATTTGATCGGGCAGGAGTTTGATTGCCCTATTTGATATTTTATCGGGACCGGGGGACTTCTTATTATGAAGACGCCTGATAGTCGAGTTAACCTCGTCGAACGTAATCGAGGGGAGCGGGTCGCCGGCGGGCGGTAAGTTTAATCGTGACGACACCTCGTCGTCGACCGTCTGAATAAACGCGGCGTCTACGTGGTTTGTATTCGGCGAGCATTGAGTCTCGAGACTCTCAGCTAGACACTCGGCCTTTTCCGCGTCGTCGAAGGCCGGTGACTGGTTAGCGCGAATCAGCGGAGGGAGTGTTTGAGTTGCCTCCGATTTGAGGACTCTCGCGAGGGGCCAGTACGCGACGTGAGAGGGCGTGAGCTCGGCGAGATGTCGATCCCATCTGTCGCTTCTGAGTACTCGAATGTTATCTCTGACGCGTCTCTGAAGAACGCGGAGATTGCGTCGGTTTACCTCTGTGGGGTATCTATCGTACGCGCGGGTCGCACGGTTCTTAGCCGTTATCAACCTACGCACCTCCGGGGGCAACGCAAAACGTCGGTCGGGACCGACTACGCGCTGCCTGGAGGAGTATTCAATCTTGGATTGAATATGGTCAGTAACGGCTGAGATCGCGCCTAACGCTTCGTTCGCGGTCGTCAGTCTGTCGGGTATGTTATCTAATTGGGGGGAGCTGATGGGCTTGAGAGCCGCTTGCAGCTTCCCCCAGTCGACAAAAGTCTTCGTTACCGGTTCGGAATCGACGGGAGGACCCAGCTTGAAGAGCACGGGTCGGTGATCCGAGTCTAGTTCGTGTATAGTTTCTACGAGTCGTAGCTGTAGCGCTACGTCTCGTAGCACTGCTACGTCTAGGACATCCGGAGCGATGGGCGGCGGGCTAAAATGTGTGGGAGCGATGGGCGCGACTACTGTAAAGCCTAACGTGTTTGTCAGTCCGTCTAGTATGATACCGTTGCGGTTGTTCCGAGAGCTATTCCAGTCCCAGTGTTTGCTGTTGAGGTCCCCAGCCAGGATGACCGAGTTCCCTAAGGCAAACAGGGCTCTGAGATCGCTCTCGAGCACGGTTTTATTTGGCGAGAGGTAAACCGACGCAATAATTAGCGACTGGTGTCCTGTCATCGCGATACGACAGATGGAGGCCTCCATATTCGTGAGCGGAGGAGGGTCGATAGGCATGCAGTGCAGTGACCTTTTATAGTAAATTAACGTACCGCCTAAGCGTTGACTTGTGCGGTCGTTTCTAATAATATTGAAATTAGCGATTTTAGGATCGCGCATAGACGGTTTAAGGAAGGATTCCTGCACCGCAAGTATATCGACCTGGTGCCTAACGACGAAGTCTCTTACAAGGTCAGTCTGTTTCGTAAGTCCGTTAGCGTTAAAGCTAACTAATGTTAGTGATCGCGGTTTGTTTCTAGATGTACTAGCCATTACGAATTGAGTATTTAAAAGTTACGAGGAGTACTGCACGGAGGGCAGTGGTAATTTTTGAGGGCCGACACGAAGGAGTCGAACCTTACGACTAGGCCCATGAGCGCGTCGAAGTTCCCTTCGGCCTCGCGAATGGCCGCGGCGAACGCGTTTATCGCGTTGAGGTCTAGATTTCGCGCGAAATCTCTACATAGCGCCGCGTTCTCCGATAACTCGGAGGTAGACGCATTTGGCGCAGAGGGCGCCACGGAACGAGTGTTAGTTTGTAGCGCTGAAGGCGCTTTAACGCGTGGCGCTGAGGGCGCTTTAGGAAGCGGCGCTGAGGGCGCTTTAGGACGAGGCGCTGAGGGCGCTGGATTCGCTACCGGTAGCGAAGGCGCTGAAGGCGCGGCCGTTGATGATTTGGACCATGCATTGGTCGAAGGAAGCGGGGCCGGGATATACAAGTCCCGGGGTTGTTGCGTAGCGCGAGGCGCCGCTGCGTCGGCCGACGGCCCCTTGTTCCCGGGACGCCTCCGGCCCGCGCCCCTCGGGGCCTTGGGACACCCGCGATAATTCGCCGTGTGTCCCTCGGTCCCGCAGTTAACACAGGCAGGGGGAGTCTCGCAAGGAAGTTTGCGGGCGCATTCGGCCGTGCCGTGGTCCCCGAGGCACTTTACGCACCTCGGTTTTCCCTGGCAATACCGGGAAGAGTGGCCATAATGTTGGCAGCGGTGACATTGCCGAACCACATCATGGGACTTTGGGGTCTCGACAGTGAGTCCGGAGAGGGAACAACACTGTTTAAGATTGAAAATTTTCCGTGAGGCGGGAGAGGAGTCTAAAATGACCAAGACCAACGGGTACATGGCCTTTGTATGCCTGTTGTAGAGGCGGTGGACCTCCTCTACGGGGAGGCCCTGTTCTAATAGGTCGGATTTAATTACCTCGTTAGATATTTCTATAGGGATACCGCGAACGACGGCTCTCAGGCGACGTTCGTCTTCGGTGGCGTACGTGTGGTAGGGGATTAGGCGATCCGTAAGGAGGCGAACGAGGGCCCTATAGTCGGCCGGGGAGGGCGTTTTTACGCAGATCCCTAGTGACGTATTTCGGGCCTGCGTGAACGCGATGTTTCTTTGCGCCATTTGACCGGAGACCGAAGTCCACACGGCCTTGTCGCGGATGACGACGGGTGGCGGGAGCTTTGGTCCTCGCTGGGACGCGACGGATGGAGTCGGAGGCTCCACCGAAGGGGACGGGGGCTCGATAACGAGCGACATCAACGGCTTAGGGCCGGAAGAGGGCGCGACGGGCGCTAGAATGCGCTTCGCGGGCGGAGAGGCCTGAAGGGCCTGAGGGGCGGAGCGCTTCTTCTTGCGCTTACCGGTGACGGTTTTGAATGAATCGTCCGAATCAGACGATGAGGAAGAAGAATTGCATTCGGACATAGGAGAGTCCGAATGCTCGGCGGAGGGAGGGGTTGGGGGAACGCAGACGGCGTTGTGGATGGAAGCGGCGTCGGAGGCAGCGCGCGAAAGGGGACTCGGCGACCTAGGTGTCGCCGCTACGGGTGGGGTAATCGCGGCGCACGGTGAAGCCGCGCGCGACGGGTGGGACGGGGGGGCCACGCTAGACGCGACCTCCCGCTTGATGTTTAGAAACACCTCGGGGTGTTTTTCTCGTAATATTTCGAGGATTCGGCGGTCCTCGAGTCCTAACATTTTCGAGTCCCTCTCCATGCTGGAGCACAGAGAGGACGGGGTCGCGGTTACAAGTGTACCTATGTGTGGTGAGTACCTACGCAGCTGTATGTAGGATATGTGTGTGTATGTGCGTCCCCGCTGGTGGTAGCGGGGGTGAGTTTGTCGCTGACCTAACCAGCCCGCAGGGGGGTACTTTGGCTGGAGCCCCTGCGGATCGCGACCGGGACTCGTCTCACAGTGGACCCCGATCGAAGTCCTGACCTGCTAGAGAGCGGTTGGAGTGCCCGCTCCCCTTGACTTGCCAACTAGTGGCCCAGGCACGATCGGCGACTTGAGAGAAGCGAGTGGGCTGTACGCCGCCTTGAAAAAGGCAACGGTGTTTGCGCCCCGACAAACACTCCCGCACAAGGCGTTAGCCTCCCGACAACCGTTTGGCACCGTTAGGTGGCCGTCGGAGAGACCGCAGGTAAACCCGCGAGCATAAAACGAAGCGAAGTGGCCGCAGTCTGCCTCGCGAAGGGAGCGCAGCGGCGGCGGCGTGTGGCGGTGAGCGGCTTAGCGGCTTCCGGCGAGCGGCTAGCGGCGAGCGGCGGACAGCAGACAGCGACGGCGGGATCGTCTGAAAGCAACGTAAAAAAGCTTCAGCCGTTATCCCAAATCGTAGCAGGGCGTGGCACCTATGCGACCCGATAGCGATCGCCAACCGGCTCACGAAGGGAGCGCAGTGGCGGTGCGGGCGGCGGGCGGTAGCAGCGGGGGGCCGGTTGTCTCGAGGGGACAACGGCGAGAGTGCGCAGTGGAGACGTCCGCTCGGGACGGCTGTCTTTTCATATTAATCTATTATAGAAGTACAGGTATAGACTACAGAATGTCGAGCAACGGCACGACGCGCTATTAGTCATGGATTCGTTTCTCTGTATCATCCATGTATTATTTTTAATCCTTTCCATATCAAGGGTCATTTTGTAGATTTTTATTCATGTTATACTTACAAAATCTGTTATAATACTATAATAAAGTAAAAAAGGAGCCGCTATTCGTGGAAAAAAAATTTTTGATACCTTATTAACATTGAAAACATGCATAAGTTCATCTTCATCAGCCCGTGCACCGCTGGACGTATACTTCTCCAAAAGTCTCGAACTTTATTCAACCACTGGTTGCGGTTACTTCAGGTCATCACTTCACTTCAGGTCAGGTTCACTGTGTTACTGGTCATCCTACACCGAGTTTATAAGTTGGAAATCTATTTACCTAGATTGAAAAAATTACGTCACGGGCGGGACTTGAACCGGTATCCACAAGCATCCACGAAATTAACTAATGTACATACATAAAGTACGATTATAATGGCCAAATAGGCAAAATAAAAACCCAGATTTACTTACTACTAAATTCTACAGTATAAAGCACTTAAAAGTTATTAGTCGAAATTATTTTAACAAGTAGTAATAGTGGATGTGCACCTGCCGTTTATGTTATTTTGATACTGAAGAGGTTTACATTAAACCTTTTTGCTCAAGAAGTGCTACCAGGACGGCGAGCTATAAAATATTAAAGTCGTTATTAAAATTGCAATAAAGTTACTCGATTATCTTAATATTTATCTACAACAAAAGCGTAATGAGCCTCTCGACTCATAAAGCAGCGTTTATACGGCGTTTCTTGTTTACGCATCGAGTATTAATCGATTATTCGAGACGTCGATGTCCGATGGGATGGTTTATTTATAAGCCAATCAAGTTTCCCTTTGCCATGCAAATATCTCGATTAATCGAAACGAGCCGTCATCGAGGTTAGGCCCATTAAGGAAATGTGACCTTCTCAGAATGCCGTTTTTACTGTTATCTCTGTTTTTTGCTATGTTGATGACCTGGTCATTAGAGGGCGTTTTCATTGATGTGTGGCTGTTGCACCTAAGATGACATGGAGCAGGAGACGCAGATTTGAATTTGTATATGCAATTTGTTACTTATATAGGTAATGTAAAAAAAATTGCACGTCTTATGTAAATTCAGTTGGATTAATACAAAGACGCAATTTTAACTTTACAACCTCCACAATATACTTTAATAAAGTACTTTTAACGGTTTGAATTATTTAAGTTATTTAAAATTTATCGTAACTACGGCATGACGTTTCGGATACTTTACAGCACTGGTCACAGAGGGACTACACCAACTACAGATAATTCTTAACGTGTACAATAGCGCCAGAAATCACCTAACTTGAAAAAAGGTTGACGATGATTGGACCTTTGCAAAAAATCTTACGTATGCAAATCAAACGACTAGTTAGCAGTTAAAATTTCAATGTTCAGATATTGTGAAAATCGCGAACGAATAGGAACACAAACATTTTGTACAATGGTAAGATTTGCTAAGAGCACGATATTTACGATCATCTAACTGGTTTTTAGAGCTTTTATGCCAAGGACGAAGGTGTTTGCTTTCCGATTCAGGTCAGATGATCTTAATGAAGTGTTAAAAATATTAAAGATTTTATACTACAATATCATTGATGTTACATTTACGTTTTATATTTCCAAATTATTTCTATCAAAATTAGTCCGACATATTTTACAATGGTTTTGGTACATGTCCAATGTACTATGTTTTATCGGTACAATAACCTAGACCAGAATTTCTTTCCCACGCGCCCTAATACATTTTTGTCCATGATTTATATAGATATAGATATATCTTTTGGCACACTCTAGCACTTTTTCCAAGATATTTCTTTTACACGACATCTATGTATTTTGTTACGATTTCCCTTGAACGAAAGGCTTAATTTAATTTATTAATTTTATGGTAACTTACATATTACAGTCTAAAGTGAAGGGGGGATTAATTTTGATAACCTTTTACATATGTGACTGACACACATTCAAATCCTTTGTCATAGAGTAAAAACCATTACACAAAATTCCATTCTAAACATTGCAAAAAATAACACTCAATTACTTTTGATGAGAGCTGTTATAGAAAAACGCGACAGCGAATTGGTATCGTTTATTTCAATCAATTTGTGAAGTCTTTTTTGTTGAATACAAAAGAAGTGTGACCCATTTTCACGGGGACACATTTAGATCTATTGTTGTTTATGTTACAAAGGAATATGTTAATACGTCTTCTTACTTTACTCTTATAAGATTAAATCGTTACAAAGGTATTTTTATTCAACGTAGTACGGGGCAGACACAATTCTGCGCCCCTTTTCTTATTCACCTCGAAGCGACCCACTGAAGAAAGAGATGACTTTTGTACTTATATAAAACATAATACTACTCTTCGCGAATTTATAAATGAGAAGAACTTCAATTGATTTTGTAATAAGTATCTGTAAGTATAATATTTTCAATCGAAAATGGTTTTACCTAAATCTAATATATACCAAATATGTAGGTAGTTTTACATATTTACATGACGTAGGACAAAGTGACTCGTAATTGCTCGTTACTCATTATCACGACAAACAGCCTAATGGGACCTACTTTATATTGAAACGTGACAATAATTATGTTCCTCGTGTTGCGAGTGGTTAATCGTGAGACTTTTTAAATTGAACATTCTTAACAACACACGGTACAATCAGCAAATAACATCGTGGACCTTTTAAACAGTTCCTATGGACTGGGACTTGGACATCCTAAGGTAGCATAACCTACCGAATGTGTGTTACCGGATGTGACAATAAGTCATCGCAGTTTTGATTGTACGGCTGTAACCATTACTGTGTTCTCCTTCAAGGACCCCGCGTCTGGGGATATAAAAATTTTGGAGCATTATCAGAGATCGAACTCGATATCACGAACGTGTATCGACTACAAATACCTCTAAGAATCTAAGCCTGTAAAATTACTAAGATTTTACTTTGCACGATGCTCTTCCTATATCTATATAAACAATATTTTGGCTCTAATTTTAGGTACTAAGGCTAAAAGGCATTGTCACATAACTTTACTATCTTCCTACACTCTATAGTAAATAGAACAGCCGTTCTCGTTCGAGTATGATCGTATTTCTCGTTGCATGTAAGCGACGCTCTAAACAAACTCATTGAAAACTAGCACACACGATGTTTACATGAGTCACGACTATTCGCGTGCTGTACAACGACCTTACTTGTTCCCCAGTAAATCCATTGAAATGCTACTAAATCCCCATAAACTGACTTTCAGAAAATAGTAAAGTTGAGACTGACGTCGCATCATTCCTGAAATATTCATCCTTAATTTCACCCGTATTGTACAGATGCATTAAATTACTTTATACCGCCATCTTGGGTGTACTGCCATGTTGTATTTTAAATTACGGTATTGTCATCCTCTCTGAAATGTGTATAAAATCCGGCTTTCCACGTAGGTTGTAGGACAGATTTTATTTACAGGCACGTTGTTCAGTTCAGACTTGTGTAACCTACCCGGCTTAAACATTATTATGTTTCTCTGGGGACCATTGAGACGGATTCTTCACCAATACCTAGGATATCGTTTATGTATATGTTCGTTGTATTTGGATATTGTTTTAAAAATACTCGTAATATTTAACATAGCATAAATTACGACTCATTAAACCAAATTTCAGAAATAATTGCACCAAACCAAATTCAATGTGAATGAAAACTAAGGCCCTTTTAGTTCTTAATATTGGCAGAGATAATGATCAACATGCACTCACCGACCTCATCGTTTCCGCGTTGCACGAAAGCAGTCTCGATATATCCATTTTATGACACATAATATTAATTAATGTGTAATTGTTGGACAGCTGCGGTTATGATTTGCCGTTTCGCAGGAATTGCTTTCACACGTTCTTTTGTTTCCTGATTGTTTACTTGGATCAATCCAACTGTTTATTCCTGGCGTGATTCTACCAATAAACAATTAAGACACAATATTAAAAATGAAACCTTGACAGAATTTAAGACACAGCTGGAACTGGAACCGGCAGCGTATCTTTCTACTGATTGAGCTCGTCCGTATCTCTGACAAGCATTCAGCAGCAGAGCTGATACTGTTACCGGTTGCCGTTTCTTATCTATTTACTATTGGTTCACGCAATTAAGTAGTTATAAGTTTACTGTAACTGCGTTAAAAGGACAATAAAAAGAGTTTGAATCTCAATGCTTCCAGGAGAAGGATTTTGTATTTTCCTCATTATAAGCTTAGTGTATTACCTGAGACATGTATTTTCCTAAAAAGACGAAAACTTTTTGATTAAATTTCTTGATTTGTCGACGGTGGGCAAGATAAATAAAACAGAATTCTTGGATTCTGCTTGGACCAATAAAACGTAATTATAATAAATATTTGCATACACAAAAATATCATTAAGTCTAAACGATTAAATATTTGTTCTTTATAGTTATTTGCATCGTTTTATCGGTGAAGAGTAGATTAATACTCATTCGTTGGTTGCATATAAATTAATTTATTCATAGGCATATCTTGTTCGACCGCTTCTAGTCCTACATGTGGTAATACAAGCTTAAAATAAAACTCAGGATCGCTCCCAGCTGGTTCAGGCGCCGTTAAGCGTAGGTTTAGACGTTTCATAAATAGATACTTAACGATTGTTTTGCCAATCGTCCTTGGTAAACAAAGCTTTGCGAAACACTTTGACACCTGTAGAAGATCAATTATTGGTTTTCTATCTCGTTTTAGCGAATAGGAAATGCCTTTAACGTGAATAGAATGGCGTCTTGCGAAGTGGCTTCTGTCTCCAGCCAGTCTCGTGGCGCACGCGACGCGTACCGCGCGCTTTATTCGACCGTTCGAAATTCAAATCGAAGTTTATCGATGTTTTTATCTCGTTTGTTGTGAGAGTTGCCAGTATTTAACGGTTTGTTCAAGTTAATACGGATATCCTTTTTGTGTGAATTTGTTTAACGCTGTCATTGGATATTACATTTTATATCTCCACATCTATTATAGTCATAACATAGGAATTAAGGATGTGGTCCCAATTTTAGTAATTCCTTTATGTTTATATATTTATAACGTCGGTGGCAATGACTTTTATTGCGTATGTTTAAGTTTACTATTTTCTGAAAGCAAGGACATAACAATCACGTTTAAGTTAATAGAAAACATATATATTTAAACACATACTAACATTATACATTTCGTGATCTTTTTAAAGAGTTTCTTTATAGCTTAAGGCTAGAAATAGATTCCGTCGTCAACGCACGCAAGACGCATAATACTAACCTTTTTAGGTGTAGTTGATTTACTTGTTTGTAGAGAAACGTGTGTGAGGTAGACATCTTTTAAAAAGCCATACGCGTCCGTTTGGTTAATTACTTTCTCATTGCCGTCTTCAATAATGAACAAATTTTATTTTAATAATTAAACATGATCTCCTCATTAAGATGTCCTAAAATAAAAAATAAAAGCAAATCAATATAAATTATAATGCAATAAAATAGTTGAACTTCGACTATATAGTAGCGGATTAACTGAGTTGTATTAACTAAGTAATATATTTTTTTATATATATAAATAACTAGTCCGCCAGGATTTGCTATTATTATGCTACGCCAGGATATTAATCAAACATTTCAGATGTTATAAACTTTTAGACACACTTTGAAAAAAAATGGTTTTAAATTCGCGAGCTTTAATTAAGAGAGTTCATTTACGAAGAAAATTCTGGGTCCCGTCGTGCTTGAGAGTTAATCGTAAAAGATAGACTTATAACTTTCACGAACATATTTTTAGACCATTAAAAAAATAAGAATCATTAACTTAAGAAATAGATTTCTTTTATACAGTATTTTTCGTTTTGACAGCGCACGTAGCAAAGCCCTCAAATAAGTATTTATAATGTTTAAAAACTTTAATATTTTTCACATGCTCATGAAGGCACTTTATAATTTAAAAATTGAAAAAAAATTCAACTCGGGCAGGACTTGAACCGGCATGCCAGTTCAAGTCCTGCCCGAGTCGAAAACTTTTCAATTTATTTTCGATTTTTAAAGTATTTATAATTTTTCTAGTCCCTATTTTATTCCACATTTCCCTATGTTTCTCTTCTGTTGGTCGTAGGTGTTTTATAGCCCAAAGCCTTCTTCGATAAATCAGACCAGTAGTTCAAGAGATTGGCGCGTTCAAACAAACAACCGAAAAAACAAATTCTTCGCTTCGTAATATTAGTATAGATAATTCTATTGCATACCTCCCTAACGATCTGGCAGAAATCCAGTACTCTAAAATAGTCATACAATATTGTTCCATCAATAAGACAATGCACAGGAAATACAAAACAGTAGTTCAATCAGCAACGATTACGTATGTAAGTGGACTATTCAAAATTGAGGACGGAGATATGTCTTGATCTAAATCTAAATTCTATATTTGTATCGTATTGAAATATATCGGAATTATTAAAAGTTTTAAATTACACTATGTAACCTTTCATTTCTTAGTCAAAGTGCCATGTACTAAAAACTTAAAGTTGTATCGAGCAGTTATTATGAATAGGTATATCGACAAAAAATCGTCGAATAATTAATTTCGATTACTGATGTAAACACACTGTGCTATGATCTATTTATAGGAGAAATTAAAGAGACCATTAGTTAGAGTCAACTGTTACTCTGTTACAAAATTAACGTTTACATGTCGGCTTTACTAAAACCAATGTGTTCCTTATATCCACAAAGTAACGAGATGTTAATCTATTGATCTAGACCTATAAAACTGTACCTTTTTAGTATGTAATGTGAAGTTATGTATTGTATGTAGTTTACGCGAACAGTACAGATTTAAATAAAACATTTAACAGCTTAAAAAATGAATTAGTTTTATTAATTAACATATGTGTATTAAAAGCAGCCTGGAGTTAACTAAAGCATTTGGTTTACGAAGTTAAAAAAAAAACGATTAAGTTTTTATCAAATAAATCTAATTCATCATAAAAAAGGTACGTTAAAAATCTTTAATATTTTTCACATGTTATGTTATTGCACATATCCTGCCCGTGTCGTATTTTTTAAAATTTCAAATCTATTTTTATCGATATAAAGTTACATTGGTACGATAGTCATATGAAATACAAACTTGTATATTTATCGAGAATTTATATAGGTTATAATTTTAACGTGATCCATAATAACGATATATTTATGTTGCGTACACGCCTTACGCACGACTACGCACCAGTTCCACACTCACTTCTCAGTTGACTCATAGTTCCAGTTTTAAATGTTAAAACCTGGTTCAAACTGTCGTTTTTGTAAGATATCGTATTACAGTTTATATTTTGTCAATATATCGAAGCACATAGCAATTTCACTTGGAAAATCATTGTTATAATAGATTATATATTAAATCGCTGCGTTTTTGTACCTATATCTAATACAAGCGACAGTGGGTTCGTTTGCGTAGAATAGTTAATTTGTATTTGCAAACCTCATATTTTTAAATTATAGCTATTACCCACGACGTCGTTCGTGTCTCGCCGTCCTTGTTAGCTAATCTTAAAAGATAGACATAATATACTGTCGATTGTCTGTTAATAATTCTTTCATATCTATTTTTTGGGTATCTTTAACCGTTCTCGCAGCCCAACAAGGGAAACTCTCATAAATTTTCCCCGTTTTTCAATGTTTCTTCGCCTATTGGTTGCAGCGAGATGAATTTCTCCTCAGTTCCTTGATGAATGCTCTAACCAACACAAAAAATCAATTGTTCATTTCGAATCAGTAGTTCTTAATATTAGCGCGTTCCAACAAACAAACTTTTCAGCTGTTATATAATATTAGTATATATGATTACAATAAAGGGTGTTACTGGTCACTGTGTAGTCACTGTTAAGCAATTAAGTAACGCTGTTGTATCATTTTACATATTTTCCTTTAACTTGCAACAGATTTTGAAATCTTCAAGCACCGTTCTTATTTCAAAATAATCTCCAACAATAATCGTGTAAAGATCAAGGTTCCGGAATTCTTTCAAAAAATTTCAATAATTCCTCAACGATTATAACGAAATTAAGCATTTCGATAAAAAAGCTTAAGCGAATTTATATTCACAGCATTATCTTTATTTTATTGCAACGATTTCACATACTAATTATAATTATCCGTAATTACTTGACAGCCTTGGCGGGAAATGCGGAATCAGTTTAGGCCCACCGAAGACGAGGTGCATCAATCATCTCTTTTTACCTGTCACTGGAATTGAGAGATGTGAAGTGTTTATCAGGAGACGATTACCTGAAAACAATAGCCATTCCATTATATCTTTTTACACACAACATTTTGAATTAAGTAGTTTTTTTTTTACTTTATATATACTGTATATTACAACATATTATAATGTTAACTAGATTACTATGGCTTTATAACTATATGATGCTGTATGGAAAAGTTTCTTTCAGTTGCTAATATGTAACATTAACCAACATTTTTACTCTTACTCTAAAAGCCTCGGTTTCAGACACTGATGAAACAATGACTTTCGTCAGATAAGGGACAGAAGTATTAACTTGTAAATAATCTGTTCGCCCCTTGCCCCGCCGGGGGATACATGGTAACAATACACGGTGTGTACGGTGTTGCAGTAGGTACATTTACCTACTGTAACACCGTACACACCATATATTATATCATATATACGAACATATAGAAAAGTTACAGATTCATAACCACGTTACATTTTGACGGCCTCGTTGGTCCGATGGTAGCAATGTATGGATCGGGTCGGGGGTTCGAACCCCACCAG